TTATTAATTAACCAATGAAAGCAACAGATAGACAGATGACCCACCTCCATCATCTGGGAAAACAAACAAACAAACACACAAACAAGTTGCATACTATCAGCAACCATAAAAGGAAATATTTTTAACTTTATAGTTTAGGAAACTCTTTCAAAGATTTTCTTTCATTTAATCCCAACAAGAACACTGTGTGTGTGTGTGTGTGTGTGTGTGTGTGTGTGTGTGTTACATTTTCTCCTCAATTTATATGGGAGAAACTGACCTTAGTTAGATGTGCCTAAGCACATCTGGCTGGCTGAGGAGAGAGAAAGGTGGGCTGGGACTCAGGTGTCAGCACTGATAGAGGGGGAACTACAGTGGGCAAGCACATCTACTTACCCAGGCTAGGCAGAGTGGAGGGTGGAGAACAGGGCGGAGCTACTTGAGGGGCTCACCTCAACTGCTCCTCTCCCTTCCTCGCCTGTCTTTCAGTTCCACCCCTCATCTGCAGAACTGAAAGGAATTTGCTCCAAAGAGATAAGATCTTGAATAAACCAGGATGGGTGAAGCCCTGGCTGGGGAAGTGCTTCTGTGCTGGGTCCTGTCTGTCTCTGTAGAGGGCTCCCAGCTCCTGAAACAGCCAGCTGAGCTGTGCTGCAGTCACATAATCTCAGGGGAGGGGAGGTTCAGGCACTAGTCTGCAGCCTTTCATGTAAGGGCCAAATGAAATGGTTTACAGTTCACGTTTTTTTTTTAAAGAGGATTTTTTGTTTTGTTTTGTTTTTTTAAAGATTTATTTATTTATTATGTATACAACATTCTGCCTCGATGTATGCCTGCACGCCAGAAGAGGGCGCCAGATCTCAGTACAGATGGTTGTGAGCCACCATGTGGTTGCTGGGAATTGAACTCAGGACCTCTGGAAGAGCAGCCAGTGCTCTTAACCTCTGAGCCATCTCTCCAGCCCACAGTTCACGTTTTGTTCCTGTTCAAAAGGAAAATACCTTTCCTGGGACTTCACCAATCCTTCTCTAGACATACATGTCTGTGCTGAAGAGAAGAGAGACTTGGTTCAGGGCAGAGCGGCCCTCCCGGCCTTTCCCTTCCCTGCAGTAAGAACACTTTAGATTTTCAGTAGAGAGCAGGAGAAGAGAAGAGGTTGGGAGGAAGCTTAGTGGATTTTAAAAAAAAAAAAAAAAAAAGAAGCCCAGGTGGGTATTCTGTTACAGAAAGACAAATATATAAAACAAGATTTAAAGAAAATACACAGGCTGGACTTTACAAAATTTAAATCTTCTATCCATTTTCTTTATATTATTTTTAATGATGTTGAATGGACTTTTTAGTTTTCGTTGTCTTTTTTTTTTTTTTTTTAACCTGGCCTGGCCTGAACCTTCTTCACTGTAGCTTTATAAACGTCCTATCCACAAGCTACACAGACATAATGGCACATCCCTTTGATCCCAGCACTGGAGAGGTAGAGGCAGGTGGAACTCTATGAATTCTAGGTCTGCCTGGTCTATATAGTGAGTCCCAGGCCAGCCAGGACTATGTAGTGAGATCCTGTCTCAGGCAGAAAAAAGAAAGGAAGGAAAGCCAGTCTATTCGGCGAGCTTTTCAGCTGCTCCCTGGTTTCCCCTCATAGTTAAAAATACCAGCTTGGAAATCTGGCAAGTCACATTTTGTTCTTGCCCTTCCCCGTGGGCACCCACCCCCAAGCCTTTGAGCCTTCGGCCAGAGCCCTGCAAACACTCCCACTCCAGCACCGATCTCCCTAAACCAGAGCCATCCCCTCCCTGCTGCCTCCCGAGCACACAAAGTATTGCTGAGAGAAAAAAAAAAAAAAAGAAAGAAAGAAAGAAAGAAAGAAAGAAAGAAAGAAAGGAAGAAAAAACGGCGGGCACGATGATCCCCCAGAAGGCATTTTGACGGTTGTTATTGACTTGTGATGGTACGGGCCCTGACAGGCCATCAGTATGTGAGAATTACAGTCAGCAGAGGCAGAAGCGACTGCAAACACCCTAGCTGAGAAAGGGGGAGGCTCTGCTCCATCTGTTCCATTTAGAGGGAGCTTTGCTCTCAGGCAGTGTGAGGAATGACTAAAAAGAGCTTTGTCCTTGAATTCCTCGTGAGCCAAAGGCAAAAGGTTCTAGAGCCTTAGGTGGTACATTCAGAAAGAACGTGTCTTTGTGTGTGCCAGGGGAAATGATACACACATATACACTTGACTAGGGAGGGTGTGTTTATTTTTTAAAAATTATATATATAATATATATATTATATATTTCAAGTATATATATATTTGAACCAGTGTTGAAGGCTGAAGCCAGAGCCTTGTATTTGCTAGGCAAGGTGCTGCCTATCACTGAACTAAATTCCTAACCCCTCTTTGTCACTTAAAGGATTAAAAAGCTCATGGTTCCAAAACAAAACAAAACAAAAAATCCCCACAGGCGAGGAGTCTGGCAGTTGGTAGTGTGTTTGTCCATCTACATACACAAGGAGCTGGATGACCTGAGTACTACGTAAAACTGGGTGTGTGCTTATGAACATCTTTAATTCCAGCCCTGGGGAGTTGGAGGCAGAAGATCAGGAATTCAAGACCTCCTTCAGCAATAGTCTGAGGCTAACCTGGACTAGTGAGGCCCCAGCCTGAGCTAGTGAGGCCCGGAGACAATCATGGCACAGCAACAAATACCCAAAACCACAAAAATGTAAATGTCTAACAAAAAAAAAAGTGAAAATCACCTGCCTCCTTTAGGCAAATATGAGATAATTCCTGTAAAAGGCTAGTCAGCAGCTGGAAGGTGGGTGATCCTTTCAGAAGACTGGAGTCACCGCCACCCATAACTCCAGCTCCAGGAGATCCAGCATCCTCTTCAGGGCATAGGTACTCATGGTATACATTCACACACTCACGCATCCATGTAAATAAAAATAAATGGGCTGGAGAGACGGCTCGACAGTTAAGAGCACCAGCTGCTCTTGCAGAGGACCAGGGTTCGGTTCTCGGTACCTACATGCCAACTCACAACCATCTGTAGCTCCAGCTCCAGGACATCTAATACCTTCTTCTGACTTCCACGGACACTGCCTGCACATGGTACATGCATACACACACACACACACACACACACACACACACACACACACATATATATGCTGCAAAGAAACACTCATACAAATACAAAAATTACATCTTAAAAGTAATTTAAGTTAGCTGGGCTTGGTGGTGTACTCTTTCAGTCTCGGCACTCAAGAGGCAAAGGCAGGTAGATCTCTGTGAGTTCAAGGTCAGCCTGGTCTATGAAGTAAGTTCCAGAACAGCCAAGGCTGTTACACAGAGAAACCCTGTGTTGAAAAAGAAAAAGCAAACAAATAAAAACAAACAAACAAAAACTAATTAAAAACATAGTTTTTGAGAAAAGATTAATTATCTTTTCTTTGTAATGGGAGAGGAAAAATATTAAACTCAGGAAAGTCTGTTTCTCTTACACAGAGAGAGAGACAAGTATTGTGAAACTGGAGATTACAAGATGGTTCAGCAGATATAGGTGCTTGTCCCTTAGCCTGATGACCTAAATTTCATACCTGGAACACATATGATAGACAAAGAGTTTTTTTTTTGCTTTCCACATATGCACTGTGATATGTAAATATGCACCCCCATACACTCACATTCACGAACACACACACACACACACAAACACACTAAATAAAAATATTAAGGGGGTAGCAGAGGTGGAGAGTTGGCTTAGCTGTCTTCCGACCTTGGTTGTAGACACCTTTAATCCAAGCACTCAGGAGGCAGAGGCCAGCAGATCTCTGTGAGTTCCAGGACAGCTGAGAGTACATCTAGACTCTGTCTCAAAAACGAAATAAAACAAAACAAACAAACAAAATAACAACAACAAAAAAGCACTGAGTTCAATTCCTAGCACCCGTGTCTGATAGTTTTATATCAAGTTGACACAAGCTGGAGTCATCTGAGAGGAGGGAGCCTCAACTGAGAAAACGCCTCCATAAGATCAGGGTGTCAGCAAGCCTTTTGGACATTTTCTTAATTACTGATTCCTGTAGAGAGGGCCCAGCCCATTGTGGGTGGGGTCACCCCTGGGCTGGTGGTCCTGTCCTGAGTTCTTTTTTGTTTTGTTTTTTGTTTTGTTTTGTGGATGTGTAGTTTTTCAATACAGGGTTTCTCTGTGTAACCCTGATTGTCCTGGAACTCGTTCTGTATGTAGATCAGGCTGGCCTTAGACTCACAGAGATCTGCCCGCCTCTGCCTCCCAAGTGCTGGGATTAAAGGCTTTTATGGCCATGCCTGGTTTAATTCTGAATTCTCTAAGAAAGCAGACTGAACAAGTCAGTAAGCAGCATCCCATCATGCCTCTGTAACAGCTCTGGCCTCCAGTTTCTTGCCCTGTTTGAGTTCCTGTCCTGAGTTTCTTTGATAATGAACAGTGATGTGGAAATATAAGCCAAATGAACCCTCTTCTCCCCAAGCTGGTCACGGTGGTGGTTCATCACAGCAATAGTGACCCTAAGACAGTGGTTTACGACATCTGTGACTTCAGGTCTAGGAGCTCTGACATGCTCTCTGACTTGAAGGGTTCCCGGAACACATGTAGTTCACAGACATACATGTAGGCAAAACACACATATATGTAAAATATAAATTGTAACAGGGTCCCAGCTCTTAATAGGCCTTAGACCTTAGCACAACTGATTCCACGATGAATGTACCATTCAGGCCATAAAACTCTGCACATAGACAGCTCCACCGTCCAGAATTAGAACAAAGATCTAATCCATCAAATCCGTAGTTCTGGGAAAGTCCCAAAGTGAACTAACCTTGCCTTTTGGCTTTTATAATCCTGCTTCTGGCTAACTGTTCTTGTTAACTGAAGCGTGTCGACCCAGGACATGGTTTGTGTCCTGTAAAGCACACCCTGAGAAAGACTGGGGGACACTGGGATTCTGAACACCCTCTGTAGTCACCGGCCAGCTAACTGTACTGGCTGAAATCTGTGTCTGAACAGTTTTTTTCTGGTGGATGTCCCACAACAAAATAAAATTAATAAAAAATAAATAAATTATGAAGCTGACTGTAATAACCTGGGTCCCTGATAATTTTATCAGGCCATACAATAGAAAAGCCAGCCATCTCCTCATGAAGGGCATTCTTCTTTTGGTATGATTTTTCAAGTTTTTATTTTACTTTTAAGTCTCTCTCTCTCTCTCTCTCTCTCTCTCTCTCTCTCTCTCTCTCTCTCTCTCTGTGTGTGTGTGTCTGTCTGTCTGTCTGTGTGTGTGTATGTATGTGTGTATGTATGTAGTATGTGCAAGTGACCCCAGAGGCCAGAGAAGCATTGGTTCCCTCTGGAGCTAGGGTTACAGTGTGCGGTGCCTGATGTGGGTGCTGGGAACTGAACTCCAGTTCTCCAGAAGAACAGTGAATCCTCTTAACTGCTGAGCCATCTCTCCAGCCATCCAGTGTTTTCTGAACAATGCTGTCTACTTCAGAGGGCTCCAGAATGGCTCTTAATAATTTGCTATTGTCCTTTATGCAGTTATGTGTTGTGGGATAATCTGTTTGTACACTGTGAAGATGTGTCTTTGCCAAGGCACCTTCTGATTGGTTTAATAAAGAACTGAACAGCCAGTAGCAAGGCAGGAGAAGGTAGGCGGGACTTCCAAGGAGAGAAAGGAAGAGGAGATGAATCTAGGCCTTCAGAGACTTGGACCAAGTCAGACACACAGAATGGAGTAGAGGTTAAAAAAAAGTCACATGGCAAAATGCAGATTAACAGGTGCAGGTTAATTTAAATTATAAGAGCTAGTTGGGGACAAGTCTAAGCCAAGCTTTCACAATTAATAAGATGTCTCCGTGTCATTATTTGGGCATTGGTGGTACAAAGAAGGACTTACTACATTTGGTGCCCAACATGTGGTACATAAATCCACACAGGGCCTGAGAAAGCTGAAAATAAAATGTTCTGAACACAGCATTGGACCTGGCTTCCTGGTGACTTGGTCTTTCAGTGCTGGGGGCATGCAGAGGTGCAGCTCTTTTAAAGTGCACCGGAGCACTTGAACAGCTGGCTGCTGCATCAAGGACACAGCGGCTTCCTAGAGCTGGGACACATAGGTGTGACTGGGTGGTTGGAAGTGGCTGGAAGCCACTGGGTCTGTCAGGCCAGATGGGGCAGAGACCACCATCAGCACAATGTCCTAAGCGGAGACTCGGCAGTCAGAGAAATGCAGGAGATGCACACACACACAGACACACACTCATGGAGAAACATATACGCAGATATACCCACAGACACAGATGCACGCACACGCACACACAGAGACATATACACAGATACACACAGACATATACACAGATATACACACAGACACATATGTGTGTGCGCATGCACACACACACAAAGATGGTGAAGAAAGAAAAAAATGGGTATAGACAGTCATTGAAAAATAAATAAGATAATTTTAAAAATAATAAGGTCTATAAAAAAGAGTAAAGTAATATAAAAAGTATAAGTCACATAAGGACAGGAAACATACAGGGCCTCTGGATCCTGAATGGTGCTTTATCGAGTGAATTATTTGGATGTTGATGAAGGACAAATAGTGCTGGGAGACATTGAACTGTAGAGAAAACTGCTAAACTAAACCAACCTATATATTTTTAGAATGTCTTCCCTTCAGAATGGAAGTCAGGAAATATGTTGCATTTGGGGCCAGTATGCCATCCAAACTGGACAATGAAGACACAAAAGAAGATGACTGTTGAATTTTGTCAAGACAAGGTGGGACAATTCTTCAAAATTGCTGCTTCACAGAAAAGTCTGTCAGACATTCTAGAGCTGTAGGCAGAAGATGGATGCCTCAACATAGGAACGTTGGATAACTGTCCAGAAAACTAGCTATTTCTGTCATTTCTATAGTTTTGGAATTTGCTTGCTCTGCACTTCCTGTTTAGTCAGATTATTTTATCCTCCTCGGGTCTCTGATGGGGTTAAAGAATAGATAGTTATAGTTTTACCATTTTCTTTGCTACCAAATTCAAAAAAGGAAACTTACAAAAGGGTTAAAATGTTTATAAAGGCTGAGAGGCATAAAAACTTGAGTTGTTTACCTAAGAAAATATTTTAAGGTCTAAATATTTTTCAGTTGGTAATACAAGTTATGATAGAAAGTGGGTTAGGTATAAAACTTTGGACTCATCAAGATAGGATCGATAATAGAGCAATTTCTCCAAATTTTCCAAATACAAATGGCCTGGACATTGTGAATGTAATTCTTACTCGCTAATTGTTCTTATTGTATATAGTTTTACTGTATTAGAGATAAAAAAAATCTTTTCTTTTTATTTAGACAAAAGGGGCAAATGTTGCGTGATACTCAATTACACTGTGATCCCCAAGTTTGCATTTGTAATAATTAAATAAAATAAACCTTGGGTCTGAGGCTGAGTTAGCAACTAGTTGATAGAAAGTAGTCATCGTCAGTCAGAGAGTGTCTGGAAGACCTTAGAGAGACACACAGGAAGTGGTAGGGAGGGGCTTTGAATGGCGTGGGTCTTTTTGTTTTGGCAAATTGGAAGGATGTTCTCTTCTGAGACTGTCAAAAAGAGAAGATCAGCTAGTTGCTATTCAACCCCCCTATGCTGGCAGGTTTTCAGTCCAGCCTTGGACTCCTGAGTCTTACTGATGAATAGGATGATAGAGATTTAATTGTAAGCTATATTTTGGGGCAGCAACCTAGACAGTGCCGTGGTAAACAGAATCCCCAGGGCCGCTGCCATAGAAACAGGCCGGTAGCTGCCGCATTTGCTGGTGAAATAGCAGTAGAATAACGCAGCCTCTGTGCCGATGAAAACATGACAGTTAGGAATGAACAGACAAAACCATGAGCAACTTGGTAGTGACTGTAAAACACTATCTCAAGGAAAGGCTGGCTATCTGGTGACTTAGATACAACAGAGAATTCCTCACTCTTCTGGGAAGTTTCAGTTTAAGGTGCTGGCAGACTTGAGATCTGATAAGACTCTGTTTCCTGGTTTGTGGACATTCACTTTCTTCTTGTGTTTTCGTGTAGTGAAAGGTTGAAGGGCTTATCTCTATTACTTAGCCTGGGCACTAATCTCATTCCCCCTAAAAGCCCTCTCAAATATTGTCAACAAGGTGGCCAGCTTTTCAACCTGTGAATCAGAGGGAGAAGGTATAAATATATAGTTCCTTTATATGTGTAGAGTGTAGGTGCAATTGTCTGTATATGTGTCTGTCTGTAAGTGTGGAGGCCAGAATCAGATCTTCCTCCGTTCCTTTATGTGTGGTGATATCTTGTTTGTACTCTAACAAATAAAGCTTGCCTGAAGATCAGAGGGCAGAGCTGGCCACTGGCTGACCATAGAAGTCTAGAGGTCTGTACAGACAGACAGGAAGAGATACGGCTGTGCAGAGAGAGAAATATAAGGTGGGAGGAGACAGTAGTTTGACCCTTTTTTCTGCTGAGGAATTAGTAAGGTAAGAGTTATCTGTGGCTTGCTCCTTTCTCTCTCTGATCTTTCAGCATCTGTCCTAATATCTGGCTCCGGGTTTTTAATTATTAAGACCAATTAGAACTTGTGTAACAATTGTGCCCAACTTTATGGTGTGAATTCACGAAAAAGCCACTTGTCTGTGACTTTGCAGTCATTGGCACTCATGGGGGCTCCCACCAAAGTCACCACCCTGCCAGCTAGGTTTTCTTTTCTGTTTTTCTCCAAACCTCTGCTTTTCATTTGGTCAGATATAACTTGCCAAAAGGGAACTTCCCAAAATTAGGGTTGGGGAAGGGCATTGTTTCTGTCTTTTCAGGAGAATAAAGGTATCCAGCTAAGGAATCTGAAGACCACTGGTCAAATGAGACATCTGAAGAAAAGGACAAATCATCCAGAGAAAATGTCCCAAGAAAAGAAGTAATTTGACCATTGGCATATCACATTTCCAACAGGACAAAATTTCATAAATCTTTCCAAATATCACATTTCCAGCAGGGACTCTCTGGTGAGGGTCTTTCCAAGTAAGAAAATGGGGAGCTAGAAAGATGGTTCAACATTTATGAGCACAGACCGCTCCTGCAGAGGGTTTGAGTTTGGTCCTGAGTACCCACATTGGGGGGGTTACTCATAACCAGTCCAGCTTTAGGGATCTGACACCCTTTTCTGACCTCTGTGGCACTAGGCTCACATGTACCCACCCCACACAGATACACAGTTGAAAATGAAAATAAAAGGCAGGGCACGGTGGTATATGCCTTTCATCTCAGCACTCAGAAGGCAGAGGCAAGCATAGGTGAATCTTTGTGAGTTCAAGGAGAAGACTTGTCTACAGAGCAAGTTCTAGGACAGCCAGGAGGTATATAGAGAAACCTTTTCTCGATAAGCAAATAAACAAAAAGAACCAAAATAAATAAATGATTAAATAAATAAAATATAAGCATACATGCAAAAAGATAACCGACATATAATGGTCATTACTGTTCAAAAACTAGAAAACAGCAGGATCTTTTTTCTTTGTAATCTGAGTGACACCCAGAGCAGGGGGACCTTGAATCAGCAAGTTTGGCAGAGGGATACAGGTTGGGAAGTAGCCATGAGCCAAGAAAGGACAGGTCAGCCAGGGTTTGGGAACGCTGCAGGATCAAGGTCCACAAAGCCCAAAGCAGGGTAAGGGGAAGTCAGCTGTGGCAGGAGACTTGCTGAGGCCTGCCCCAGAAACAAAGCCCTTTCTCTTCTCACTTACTCCATTTTGCCTGGCAAGCGTGCCTCTACCCCAGGGCCTGGCGTGGATTTGGAGTCGGAAGGAGAGGACAGTATGGCTTTTAAGTCAGACAGATAGCAGGGATATGATTTTTCCAGGGGGTTCCTCTCTCTTAGCGAGGCTGAAGTCTGATTCATAGGTAAACCAACCTTGCACAATGGCTTTAAAGAGTGACTGCCGTTTTTGACCAGACCATCAGGCAGTTTTCTAATGAATTTCATTCAGAATTGTGCTACTTAACATTAGGTGCACATTAGACTCATTAGGTGTAACTTAGAAAAAATACTAGTGCCAATGCCCTACATGAATTAAATTCTTCAGGTGGTCTGAGGGCTAAGTATTGATGTGTTTTACAAACGTCTCAGGTGATTCTAGTAAGTAGCCACACAGTTGGAACCACTGGTTTGAACATTTGAAAAGTTTAAATCAACTAATTTTTTTAGAGATGGTTTTATGTAGCCTAGGCTAGCCTTGAACTTCTGATCCTTTTTGATTTCATTTTCTGATGTGGTATACCCTTCTGTAGGCTGTGAATATGTCTTCTTACCATTGGTTAGTAAAGAAGCTGATTTGGCCAATAGCCAGGCAGAAGATAACTAGGTAAGAAATCCAAGGGGAGGGGAGTGGGGGAAGGGGAGTGGAGTCAGGGAGACACCAGCAGCTGCTGGAGAATCCACATGTGAGATAACAAGCCTCGAGCTTCGTGGTAAAATATAAACTAGAAATGACTTAATTTAAGATGTAAAAGCTAGTTAGTAAGCCCGAGCTAATAGGCCAAACAGTTTGTAATTACTATTAACCTCAGAGTGGATATTCAGAAACTAATAGACGGGAGAAAGACTTCCACTTACAATGTCCCAAGTGCTGGAGTTACAGGCATGCACCATCATGCCTGGCTTAGTCAATTTTAAACAGGATTGTTTAATGTGATTCTTTAATACATAATGAAATTATTTTCAGGGCATATTGTCTTCATAGAACTTTCTCGGTACTAATTCGATGACAAACCTGTAGTTGATTTATTCTTCTAAATGTCTGTTGAAACGTTGTACTGTCATTGCCTTTGTCCACATCACATCCCATGCAGGTCTGGCAGAGTAATCCCATGCCCCTTTGCCTTTATGTTGTGTTGTCTGGGGCAGCCTGTCAGGCCCTGAGCTTATGGGGAAAGATTCCAGGGCATCTTATTGTCATGAGACTTTGGTTGGTCTGTGGTAATTCAACAAGGAAATCAGTGTGGGCTTCACAATAATTAGTAACAAGAGCCTCTTCCTGTTTCATTTGAGCAAAAGGTTAAAAGTATTACATCCTCTATAGTATCTTAGGCCTCTTGCTAAAAAAAAAAAAAGTACATTTATTGTGTATTTCTGTGTCTGTGTACCACGTGCATACAGGAGCCTATACAGAGGCCAGAAGAGGTGTCCAATCACAGATGGTTGTGAGCAGCCCTGGGAGGTCTGGAAACCGAACCCAGGTCCTCTGCAGGAGCAGCAAGTTCTCTTGACCCGCCAAGCCATCTATCTCTCCAGCCCCTTAGGCTTCAATTTAAGATCGTTTTTTAAGGCCTTAAAGACGGCAAGAAAGGAAGAAGACTCATTGATGTACAGAATTGGGAGTCTCGGTGTAATTTAAAGTCACGAATTCGACCAATTCTTGAGACTAAAATCTTCCCAAGATCACACAGCAGGACAGACCCGAAGATGGGTCTGAAGACTGGGAGACGGGTCTAGAATTGGAAGCTTTATTCCTAAATCCTTTCTGATAAAGGTGGCCACCTGGCCATTTTACTATCTCTGAGCGATGTCTTTTTTTTTTTTTTTTTTTTCTTTTCACTTCATGAACTGACTTTCTGCAGTCAGGCTTCTCAGACTGTCCTGTAGTTCTCATCAGTCCTGCTAACTCTGGGGTATTTTCTGTTGATTCGCGCATCACCATTGACGTGCATTACTAAATGATTGTTGGTGTCCAGGCTCTAATACGAATCACCGAAACAGAAGCGGCCTCTGCTCAGCGGAGGGCCCACTTGGAATGAAGTCTAGGAGCCAGTCTATTGGGTTGCACTTCTGAGCTCGGTATTGTCTATGCTTAGACTGGTAGGAAATGTACCCAGGTAAGAAAGGAATGTCAGGTGGATTCGGGGACTTGTCCAAGCTTTCCTAGGAGCTAATGGAAGGAAGGACCGGTTTGCATGTCACGGAAGATTCGAGAAATGGGCCTCTGGCCCAAGGGCTGCACAGAGGGTGACTAGCCAGTCTAACCAGACTTAATCTAGCACAGGGTCCGCCCGAGGTCGCTTGTGTAGGATGCAGGCGGGACACAGGAGCGGCCAGTGGGAGAGGCAGAGGAGCGGAGGAGAGCGATCGAGACGGAGAGAGGAGAGAAAGCAGCGAGGGAGGAGCTGCAGCAGACGCGGCGGCGGAACCGCCAGCTGAGAGCTCAAAGAAGAAAGGCTCGAGGCAGGGGGCGGGGATAGTGGGCGGGACCGGGGCGGGGCCTGGGCGCCATTCGGAGAACTACAGAGGGAGGCGGAGTCGACCGGTCGGGGAAGGAACGTAAGGGGCGGAGCCTGGGGGGAACCCGGGACAAACTACAGGAGGTGGAGTCGGCGGGCCGGGGGAGGAGCCTGAGTAAGGGCGGTGCCTAGGGGAGAGGGGCGGAACTACCGGAGGTAGAGTTGCAGGGCAAGGGGGAGGAACCTGGGAGGAGGCGGAGTCTAGGGGGAGCCAGGATGAACTAAAGAAGGTGGAGCCTCAGGGTAGGGGGCGGGGCCTGAGTAGGGTAGCTGCGGGGGAGCGGGGAGAGGCCTCTAGGGCCGCGGCCGCCCAAGCGTGATCTTCGCCGGCTGGTCAGGCCCCGGGGTGCTTCCCCTCCCTGTTCCTCAGAGCCGTGGGTCCTCGGCCTCTCCCCCAGGCACGGACTCTGGTGGTCGCGGTGGAGGAGGACGTTTGCACAGCTCCCCGGCGGGCCGCTGCTGTGCCCGAACCGGGGACCGCCGCCTCCCCGGAACGCGTGGGGCCGGTATGGAGCTCTTCCAAGCCAAGGACCACTACATCCTGCAGCAGGGAGAGCGCGCACTGTGGTGCAGCCGGCACGACGGCGGCCTGCAGCTCCGACCGGGTGAGGCGCTAGGCGCGGGCTGGGTGGGGCGAGCCGGCCAGCTGGAGCGCGGTGTGGGGGGGCGCGGCTCGCGCCCCCCCCCCCCCCCCCCCCCCCCGAGCAGCGACTGGGAGGCTGGGCGGGCCGCTTGGAAATGTCAGCTCCCGGTCCTGAGGGGCGCGGCCGCCTCCTTGGCGCGCACTCCTGTCTCTATGCGGCGGGAAAGGCCGGTCACCCCCCCTTTAGTGTGCCTCCTCCAGTATCTGGGGCCTGGGGAGTGGGGACCGGGTCCCTCAGGCCTCCACCTGCGCCGGCTTCACGCCGTCCAGCGCGGGAAAGTTCTGGGTTCGAATTCCATGTAGTTCAGTGGAAGCCTTGGCGGGACTCTCCCTCTTGACATCTTGTGTTGTTCCCGGTCCCTTATTAAAGAGTGACTTCACGAAGGTTACCTCACAGCACTTGATCGAAACCTCCGTGTATGACTTGCCATTTTCGAGAAGAAATTGTGTAGGCTGTCACTTAAACGGTTAGGAGAGGTCAAAAGCCTCCATCATTTGCCTTGGGAAACTTTGCAGTCGGGTTTGGCAGCAGCACCTGTCCTCAGACAGCTACTGTCTCCGTATCTCTCTGGGGAGTCTGGGCAACTTCTGCTTAGTTGCCAGTGCTATTTTCTTATCCACTCAAGAGCTTTTGACTTTAGGAAAAGTGAGTCTGGAACTCTTGAAAGAGCCACCCTCGGAAGTTTACCTGTATTCCTGGAGTGCATCTAGTGTAACAACTTCAAAGGGACTTTTCGGGTCATCTTGTTACCACTTAGGTAACAGGTCCTTTAGTGTGTGAGCCCCACTCACCATGGCAGCCTGAGGAGCAGGGTCGGGATATTCCTTTCCAGGGGATATTCAATACAGAAGGGCACTTTTCGGCCTACCGGACACTTTTCGGCCGAATCTCCTGTGTCATCACGAAGGCCTGCTATGTTGCTCTGAAGGAAAACGTTTTTTTTCTTCTCCAGAAATATGGTTCTGGCTGTATTTCCTTGCCACTGTATTTTATGTCCTCTTTTCAGAACGGAGACACTACCTTATCCACAAGACTCCTGGTGACCTTGGGATAGATGATATAAGGCTAGGCTAGTCTCTTGCTTTCTTCTTTACCCCAATTTGACTACTTTCCTAGCCTGCCACCCATGTGAGGTTTAGAGCAGGGAGAATTAGGCTGTAAAATTCCCAAGAGCCCCTTCCTGGGAGCTGGAATGCAGGACTGAATGGAACTTGAAGTCCTTATCAGCTCATCAGACAGGACGAAATTTCCTGTGCCTCGGCAGTTTCCTCAACCAGAAGCTTAACCCCAGCCTTTTTTGGAATAAGCCATTTGGTTTGGGTTACACTTTGTCCAAAGTCCATATCAGAAAGCAAAGTTAACACTTTCCCCCATAATAAAAAAGTTTGTTCTAGCCATTACAATTAAGTTTCTTTTATTTCTTAGATATGTAGCCACAAACATGGACCACAAATCTAGAGGAAGGCAGAGGCCATCATAATTCAGAATTAGTAGGCTCTTGTGAGCCTTAGGCACAGTCTGTTCAATACTCACGATTCTAAGAATAGCGGTTTTAGTAATAATGTTTAATTGGCGTGAATGCTCTTCAGATCTTTATCTGTACAATTATTTTAAATCCTGTTTTTTCTATTGAACATTTTCCTCTGTTTTTATGGCCAGGTTGCTCTTGTTTGAAGTGACAACAGTTAAAATCTTTAGTTCCCCCTCCCCCTTGTTATTCAACAACTGAGCAAACTACTGATGAAGTTTGTTTCACCACAGGTGGTATTATAGGACCAAACAGTGCTGGGAATTGTGATTTTTTTTTTTAACATGTGACTACTAAATGACCAGAAACAAGAAATTTTCTTTTTTTCCTGGAGATTTAAGAAAAATAAGTGATGCTGGGCAGGGGCGGTGGTGTCGCACGCCTTTAATCCAGCACTCGGGAGGCAGAGGCAGGCGGATCTCTGTGAGTTCAAGGCCATCCTGGTCTACAAGAGCTAGTTCCAGGACAGGAACCAAAAGCTACGGAGAAACCCTGTCTCGAAAATACAAAAAAAAAAAAAAAAAAAAAAAAAAANAAAAAAAAGAAAGAAAGAAAGAAAGAAAGAAAGAAAGAGAAGTGATAATGATAGTTAAGGTTAACATGAGCATTTCCATAGCTCAGAATCCCTACTTTTCTCACTTCCTGCCTGCCTAGGTCATTCATTGTGTGTGACTTCTGTTCGAGGCCACCCACCCTGTACTAGTCTAGCCTGCATCCATGGGGCAGAGTTATTGGCCACGTTTGTTTTGTTTCTTGATGTTTTTTTATACTTTGTACACTTGCAGTTATAATCCTCCCTTTCTACATTAACCTGTGTCTTCTCAGTTGGCATTATTTCCTCATCACAGGCTTTGCTTTACTAATAATCTTGGTGTCTCTGGGCTGGAGTGTTTGTAATCAATCCAGAACATACTTTATGATTGAGTTAACCTGAATTAAACATAACTTCAAGTTTCCTCACATTTAAATCTTTGTTGTAAAAGTAAGATGATCTCTTATGTTCATTTTAGGCCTCATTCTGATTCCCCATCCCCTTCTTGCTCTATAGCCCAGGCTAGCCTGAAACTCACTGTGTCGCTGATCTCAAACTCACAATGCTTTGACCTCTGCCTCCTCCTGGATTATGGGATTACAGTGTGACCTATGATACCTAGCTGAGTGATTCTGTCTTTCTTTTGTTTTGTTTTGGTTTTTGGTTTTTTTATTTTTATTTATTTATTTTTTTTTTGAGACAAGGTTTCTCTGTGTAACAGCCCTAGCTGTCCTGGGACTAGCTTTGTAACCAGGCTGGCCTTGAACTCACAGAGATCCTCCTGCCTCTACCTCCTGAGTGCTGGGATTAAAGACATGCATCATCACTCCTAGGCTGAGTGACTCTTTTTAAAGATTTGTTTAGGCCGATAGTGGTGGTGATCACTTCTAATCCCAGCACTCAGGAGGCAGTGGATCTCATCTCTGTAAGTTTCAGGCTAGCCTGGTCTACATATTGAGTTCCAGAACAGCCAAAACTATGTAATAGAGAGACCCTGTCTCAAACAAACACTCAAAAGAAACAAAAAAAGATTTATGTAATTGAGTGGAAAATCTTTGTTCAGTTCATTGAGAAATGTTAGAACTTAAACTTGTGATTTTTTTTCTGATAGGATTCTTTATTTTTTTGACACTGTTTAATTTTTTTTTTTTTTTTTTTTGTTTCTCGAGACAGGGTTTCTCTGTGGCTTTGGAGTCTGTCCTGGAACTAGCTCTGTAGACCAGGCTGGTCTCGAACTCACAGAGATCCACCTGCCTCTGCCTCCCGAGTGCTGGGATTAAAGGCGTGCGCCACCATCGCCCGGCTCACTGTTTAATTTTTTAAGGAAAAAATTGAACGTAAATAGTTGTCTGTTTTTATTTTCCTAACAGAAGGGAGTAGTCTATGTTTTTGTAAATCATTGGGCTTTTGGTTTGTTATTTTTCTTTTTAAGATGCTTATCACTATTGCAAGTTAATGGCCACCAGAGAAAAAGTATTTAGGTTGTTTTAACTTCTCCCAGGAAAGTGCTGTGTAAATATTCAGTAATCTCCAGAGAATAGAGTTTAATGTCTGACACTAAGAATTATAGTTTAATCGAAAGGATGCCAGGAGAAGGGGAGAAAGGAGGAGGGTGATGGGACACACGAGACAGCAAAGCAGAAAAGAGGTTCTGGGAGTTGGGTCAGGGGGCACAAGGGAAGACCAGGGTCATGGACAAGATCAGGGAGGAGGAGAGTCAGCTGAAACATATTTTGCTTGAAAATGCTGTAACACACACACACACACACACACACACAGAGGCAAATCCAGTAATTTATATGTTAATTAAAAATAAAAAATATATTTACTACATATATATTTAAAAGGATTTTAGTTTAAGAAATTAAAAAAACAATATATAATCCACTATTGGAAATAGTTATGTAGTCTTTTCCATTTAAAATTGCTTCCACTCTTTCGGCTTTGTGTGATGGGGCAGTGTTACATAATTTATTTCTGTGTGTTACCTCATTCTATTCCGAGACTGAGTGACCATGAGAGATCTCAGAGCACCTGCTGTACACACAGCATTTATAAGCGCATGGTCCATATATAGCAAATGGTACTTTAAATGATACACAGTAATGAGCATTTTTCTTTTCTTTCCTTTTTCTTTTCTCTTTCACCCCACCACCCCAGGGGATACTAGCTGTCAGAATTCACACCAAGTTTTTCTGCCCGTCTTACAGTTTTGGCAATCCAATTATTTTCCCTTTTAGAGGGAAGTGACTTTTACATGTTGCTTTGTACTTGTGGAGGTCAGAGGACAACTTGTGGCCATTCTCTCCTTCCACCCAGGGATCAAACTTCGATTGTCGGCTTAGTGGCAGTCACCTTTATCATTTTGCCAGCCTGAAATTATTTTTCACTGTCAAATGAAGTTAACTTTTTAAAATGGGAAATTATTATAGAATTGAAATCCATATAGAATACTAACCTCTGGGGGGCTGTTGTGGGAAACTGTATTTAGTTTATTTGGTATTTTATGTCCTGCTGTTATACACACACACACACACACACACACACACACACATTTTGAGGCAAGATCTCAATTGGTGCAGGCTGGCCTTGAACCCCTAATCCTCCTGCCTCAGCTTCTTGAGTTCCAGGACCACAGGCATGAACCACCATGCTTGGCTTTCTAACAATTTTTGTTATCATTGTAACCAGCCTTACTAGTGTTTTTTTGCCTTTAATTTCTTTGAAAAATTGCTCGTTTTGTATTGTGTACTACTTTTGTTACCTATATTGTATACCTATATTGTATACTATATTGTATACGGCAGCAGTTGGGCTGAATGAGTCTTTACATTTAGTTTGTTATCTGCATCTTCACCCAAGATTGATACCAGCGTACAGTAGCAGCTTTTACTTGTTAAG